TTTTTCATTCCGATCTCAAAACACTTATTTAGCCGACATTTGGGACAGAATTTTCTCGTAACAACACTTACTTGACATTTGTCCCCAAAATAGCATTCAATCTATAAATATATGCAAAAGTTATTTACAATTAAATTTAATTATTAATCATTTTAATGGCAATTATACGGCTGTTTGATAGGCATTGCGCCTGAAAAACGCTTTACACGGCCCACACGTCAGGGCACCAAAGTTTTTGCCTACAAAAAAGTGTGATGCAAAACGGGGTTAGACTGTAGTTAATAGCAAATACAAGTGTATGGTTACCGATGGCCTGTCCTCCGCAAACACCGCATACTTTAGACTCGCTTTCGTCAGACATGTCTATCAGTAGTTAATAGTTTGTACCAATAAATCAATGTTTAATGTATGCTTGATCAATTATCCAGACTCACTGTACGATAGTAGGCTAAAGTGAGATGGAGTGTTTTGTAAATTATTTGTAATACTTAATGAAAGTATTGTTATTCATTGGGACTCCAAGAGTGGTGATAATGACATAGAAATAAATTTTTATGATAATACATGAGAGACACCAGTATTTCAATCCAATCGGGATTTCGTGTGAAATCTGCTATTTTTCATATCAAATACACAGAAGTTTTGTTTCGAAATAACAATAATATTAAATATAATGTTTGATTAGACGTCGAGTTAAGAATTGTAGCTTGTTGATTTAATTGTTAACAATTTATATATTAATTACTAACTATAGTGTTAACAATAGTATTGTTTATCAATTATAATAGTTGTAAATTATGAATCACCATATACAGCTTATTTACTAATTTACTAGTTTAAACATAACACTTTAGTACAGAATATCAACTTAATTACCACGTTATACTAGATATGGATTTCCATTCAAGGCACTTTTATTAAACAGTATTACTTATTAATATTTGATTTTTTCTCAAAACTATTGATATAAACATTATATGTTTTAGTGTAAATCTTTATTTCATAATTTCATTTATTATATAACAGATAAGCCTTTTCCTACAATTTATCGCACTTTTTGTGTGATAAGCAAAATGTATAAAATATTTTGTGTTTCAATTTAATGTAAATGTCGGCAAAATAACTGCATTCAGACTCCGATTATATGTAATCCTCATTTGAACGAGATATAAATTTACTTATTGGCCAATTTAGTGCATAAAAGTGTTACCATGTTATTTTTATTTACAATTTACAGTATAGTTAAAATATGATAAAATGACTGAATGTCTTATTAATGAGTTTTCTTATAATTAATTGGGAAAGTCTTTAATTGATATGTTGATGTTTTTAAACCATGTTTTGCTTTCATTAATTATTCAGATATGCATTTTGCAAATCACTCAACAATTATCAATCAATCAATCTATTGATAGAATACATAAAACAGATAATTATTTATAAACGATATAAAGTATCATTTTAACGAACAGTCAATATATAAAATAATGAATAAAAATAAATTTACATTTTATATTATTAATAATACAAATGTAATGATTGTAATACGAATGTAACCACTTAATGAAATTACTTATTATTAGTTATACCTAAAAAGTTTAAGTATAAAGTTAAAAATTTAAGGTAAAATTTAATTCAAAATTAAAATTTCTAAACAATACTCGGTATTAAATTACATGAAATTCAATGGTTATTTTATAATACAGAAAATCTGTTTTGTAATTCCTAGTATATTTAATATCCTTGTTAATGTGAAAACCAAAACATTGTATGAGCGCTGGATTATATAAAATTATCGTTAATTACAATACTTTTAATTAAGTAATCAGAAATATACTGATTATAGACGCACTTCAATCTATGTTAACAATATTCATAAACAGTCGACAACTATTGTTGATAAGGGAATGATTATGAGATGTAATAGTTATTTTTGATGTGGAATTTTGTTTACCACTTTCGGTTATTTGTTGAACGTAGATATGATCAATCATTTTGAGTATTTTATTGCATTATAAGAATGAACTAAAATTTATCTTGGTATAATAATTTTACGAATTACACTTATAAGTCTCTCTCTCTCTCTCTCTCTCATTTGCATAATTATTTTATACCAAGATTGTATTAAAACAATGAAGTTTTAAATATTATACATTATTTTTTTCTACAAATAACATTATGTTCTTGTGCAACATTGTTCAAACAGTTTAGCATATTGTATTATAGTAAATGTATTAAAACAATATAAAAATACAAAACAATTATAAGTTATTTTTTATTTTATTAAATATTATATATTAAAAGCATACTTAATAAATATAAAATTGGAATTATTGTACAACATTTCAATATTGATACCATTTATAATTTTAGATATTGTAATTATTCGTGGTAAATAATAATGGTAATTACTTTAATAAATTATATAAAATAATAGTAACATTTAAATTTACAAAACAAAATTATTAAAGATGTAAATATAAATGATGTAATTTTGTTTATTAAACATCTAATTTAAAATACTGTTTCTCATTATTTAAATGTATAATCAATAATAGTGATTTATAAAATAAATAAAACACGTAAATGCTATTTCATTCAAACAATATTATATAAGAAAATTCAATATAACAAATAATTGTCATTTAAATATAAGTATATTTTGCATTAAATAAAGTGAATTAATATAAAATACTGACGATATTTAATTATTTACATCTTGTTGCCGGATTACCAAGATCCAAAATTTCTGAGATAACAGGCCCTACATCACTTGGACTTGCATTAGACCAATTAATTTTAATAACTTCACCAAGGGCATTAATTTCTTTAATTGAGCTCATTATACGGAGAAATTTAAGCTTGGCCATCGACGAGTCAGCTCGATATTTTAATAGTATATATCGTAGAAGTAAATACATATACAGATTCTGTTCAAGTCTTATGAAACAAAAAGGATAAATTAGATTATTTTATTTATATAATTTTAGTTTTGTTTGTATTATCTAACTCGATAACATCTCGGTACTTAAGGTTCGGTCTGTTTGGGTCAAACAGTACTATAGCAGTTAACTATAAATATTAAAATAAAATAAATAAATTATTAATTAAATAATAATTAATAATAATCTAGCTATGAATAATTAAAGTAAAGTAAATTTATTTACCAAGTCCATAATTAGCTCATCTGAATCCCATTCCGGGCACATAATGTCAAAGTATCTGATATAACAGTCGCCCAAAAATGGTTCGCATTTAGCCGTAAAATCCAATTTTAGCAAAAGAGAACTGTTATGGTCCTAGTAAAGTAAAATTATAATTAACCAAGCTGAATTTAAAATCAACGTATGATCATTTACCGTGTTTATTGTCCAGTACCTGTCTTTGGGGTTATAATACTCAAGTGAACGCATCAACAGATTTTCAATACAGCCATACTTTATAAGCGCTATCATATCATTGCCGCACAGGTTATTAAATGGGTTCAACTGTTTTGTCATTTGAATAAAATTTAGGATCAGTGTATTAAATCTGGCAGCCATGGTCATTTTGTATTGAACCGGATCATCCAACTCGGCTATAACGGTATTACCGGTGGGCTCTCTAATCCATTTCAAGGCTGTCAACAGTTCCCGGATTTTGTTGATTTCAAACTCGTTGAAACTTATGCTAAAATTGCTGATATGTCTGACGATAGAAACTGTGGATAATTTGAATTTTTGCTGATTGCTCAAAAATAACTCTTTGTCTGCCAACTGATCCGCTAGTCTCGGAACAATTGAGTCATTGATTATGTGTTGATCGATGGCTTCGTGTGATATCATTGTGTTATCATTGGGTGTGTCCTCAGAGTCTGGAGTCCAGACATTACTGATTTCATACTCGGATTGATTACTAGTGTCTATAACGCGACTATTATCTGGACTTTGAGTAGGGATTATCTCACAGGAATGGCTATCAGAGACCGAGTAATCAGTTTTAAATACAATATTATTATTATTAATATTATTATTGTAAATATTTTCAATTAAACGTCGTTTGCGTCGATTCTCCTCCACTTTCTTACGTTTCATGATTTTCTCATACTCTGTGAGAATCCAATCCTTGGATAACAACATTGAAAACGTGATTATTTTGCTGTGAATATGACATTCATGTTATGGAAATGCATTAATTAATTACCTTTTTCATGCCAACGGCAAAACATTTACTTAAACGACACTTTTGGCAAAACTTTCTGGTAATGGGAGTAATATCGCACTTGCCGTCGAAAAAACATGATAACTATATTAAAAGTAATTAAATAATAATTATAATAATGTTTAGGGCCTTAATTAAATTAAATTAGATTAAATAAAATAAAATAATAAATGTATCATGGTTTTAAACCTTGTTTCTAAGAGCATTTCGACGAAAAAATGCTTTACACGGACCGCAAGTATATGCGCCAAAATTTTTGCCTAGGTATTAATTAGATAAAAATTGCGACATGATAAGTTTTAATTCAGTTTTGCTATTTAATGACATTTAATCTAAATATGATGTATTAATTAACATACTTATCGCTAGGTCGCCGCAAACTCCACAAACAAATGCCGTTTCGTTCATTACGTTAAATCAAATTAAATATGTTCAATCACAACACAGTTATTAATCTTGATATTTTTATTAACTATAACAACAACTATATAAATGAAAGTTTAATCACATATGATTTGCAGCATGTTTGAACATAAAGTTTGATATGTGCTCTAATATACTGTACATTGTAAAAGTGTACTAAACAGAACTAAACAAGATGATTAAAACTTTTTTGTTTCAGCAAAATGTTATATTTTCTACTTTTAAAATACGATTACCATGATTTTGAGACGTATATCAAATACTTATGGCAATGTTAATTATACTAAAATTATGTTGAATAGTACTTTTTGTGTCATATTAAAGAGGCAAAAGCATGTCGATAAAGATCGCATAACCCATAGATGCGTTTGCGTAAATGGCCTTACAGTTTGTGTATGACATTGAATACCATTGAATATCTGTTCGCATCAATTATGCAATCGATATCTGAATTCACTTTATTTTGTACTTAATCTCAATTCAAAAAATTAATCTTTTATTCATTAGGTTTTTAATGTTTGAATGTTTGAAATATATTTTTAGATATATTTATATAAAAATTCACTTATATTTTACCAATTTAATTGATTTGTAACTTATACGTGGAATATTCTTTCTGTAAGTGGAATACTTGTAGGTAATTGACTAGAATTAGTATTTAAGTAAATATGAATAATAATGCTATAAAATTTAACTTTAAATTTGTACAAAAATATTCTCTCCACTAATCTTGATACAAAATATTATTAATGTAAAAGTATCATTAATAATTAATTAATATTGCTTATTGATATAACTAATAATTTGTACATAATTCTTGTATTGTATCTGTTAAGTATCTGTTAAATAGTTATACTAAAATTTATTAATTATAATATATTTTATTATTGTATGAGGTTTGTATATATGGAATAAATTATACATGTACATTATAAATGTATTTACTTATTATAGCATAATATAGAATATTCTATAATATATATTTGAATAGATATATAAATAACCTTGTAAACATAAAATAACACACTTTAATTTAATCAATTAATAATATATTTGTTGTTTGTGTTGTTGTCATAAAATGTCTTGAAATGTAGACAATATTGTACTCAATGCAAAGTTTTATTATTAATAATAATGCATTTAATAAAATGTAAATCTATATTTTTAATGCAAAATAACAGGGTATAGTAAAATAATAATTTAATAACAATTAATTTAATATTAATATTTGATTATCAAATTGGTATGTACAACATGTATGTGTAATATTGTGTAGTATTGCTCAAACAGTGTCTAGAATATGTATTACACAATTATAAAAATGCAAACATGATAATTAATAAGTTATTAATAGCAACAAAATTTTTATATCCATTGGAAACACATTAAGAACATAATTAATAAATATAAAATTATATTTATATTACAATATTTGAATTGTTTTTATTGTTATGTTACATATTGTAATATATTATTATAATTATTTTAATACATTATCATATAATAGTACAGTAATATTATAATTTACAAAATAAAATTATTAACAAAATAAATATAAACATCTAATTCAAAATACTGTTTCTCATTATTTAATTGTATAATCCTATCATAAATAATGATTTAGAAAATAAATAAAACACCTAAATGCTAGTTCAGTCAAACAATATTGTATTAAAATTCAATATAACAAATGTTTGTCATTTAAATACAAGTATATTTTGCTCGAAATACAGTATATAATGTACACTAAATAAATTTAATCATTTTTTGTCAAATTACCAAGATCCAAAATTTCTGATATGAAAGGCCCAACATCACCTGGATTAGCATGAGACCAATTAAGCTTAGTGATTACACCAAGGGTATTAATTTCCTTAATTGAGCTCATTATACGGAGAAATTTGAGCTTGGCCATTTCGGAACCAAATATACAGTATTTTAACAGTATATATCGTAGAAGTAAATACATATAAAGATTCTGCTCAAACCTTATGTAAACAAAAACAAATTAGGTTATTTATTTAATATAATTCTAAATTAATTTGTAGAAACTAACTTGATAACATGTCGGTGCTTAAGGTTCGGTCTGTTTGGGTCAAACAGTACTATAGCTGTTAGCTAATAGAATATGATTAATTCAAATAAAATATAGAGTAAATATTATTATATATAATATTAATTAATAACTAATTAAAATAAAATAATTTACCAGATCTACAATCAGACGGTCTGAATCCCATTCCGGACACATAATGTCAAAGTATCTGATATAAGAGTCGCCAATCAATGGCTCGCATTTAGCTATAAAATCCATTTTTAGTATAAATGAACTTTTGTTATCCTATAACCAACAAAATCCATAAATGTAATTATAACTAACCAAGATAAATGTCAAATTAACTCATGCTCATTTACCGCACATATCGTCCAATACCTGTCCCTATGATTATAGTACTGAACCGAACGCATCATTATATTCTCAACGCAGCCATACTTTATGAGGGCTATCATATCATTGCCGCACAAATTATTAAACGAGTTCAACTGTTTTGTCATTTTGGTAAAGTTTTGGATTAGCTTATTGAATCTGGTAGCCATGGTCATTTTGTATTGCATTGGGTCAGCCAACTCGCCGGTAATCATCCCACCGGTGGGCTCACGGATCCAATTCATGGCTGTCAACAGTTCCCGGATTTTATTGATTTCAAACTCGTTGAAACATATGCTAAAATTGCTAATATGTCTGACAATAGAAACGGTGGCTAATTTGAACTTTTGCTGATTGTTCAAAAACAGCTCTTTGTTTGCCAACTGATCCGCTAGTCTCGGATCAATTAAGTCATTAATTATGTGTTGATCGATGGCTTTGTGTGATATCATTGTGTTATCATTAGGTGTGTCCTCAGAGTCTGGAGTCCAGACATAACTCATTTCATACTCGGATTGATTACTAATGTCTATAACGCGACTATTGTCTGGACTTTGATTAGGGATTATCTCATAGGAATGGCCATCAGAGACCGAGTAATCAGTTTTAATTACACTGTTATTATTATTATTGTCGTCATTAATGTTTTTGTTATTATTATTGCAAATAATATTTTCAATTGAAAGTCTTTTTCTGCGATTTTGCTCTACTTTTTTACGTTTCATTATTTTCTCATTCTCTGTGAGAATCCAATCCTTGGATAACAACATTAAAAACGTGATTAATTTATTGTCAAAATGTAATGGACATGTATGAATAAATTACCTTTCTCATTCCAATGGCATAACATTTATTTAAGCGACACTTTTGGCAAAACTTTCTGGTAAAGTGAGTGACATCGCAGTCGCCGCCGTAAAAACATGATGACTACATTAAAAGCAAATATGTCATTTAGTATTATAATTTAATTATACGTGATTAATCTAAATGATTTATTTATTATGATGATAGAATCACCTTATTTCTTGGTGCATTTCGTCGAAAAAACGCTTTACATGGAGCGCAAGTGTATGCACCAAAATTCTTGCCTAAATCAAATATTATTATTTTCTAAATTAATATCATTTAAATAAAATTTAATGCATGATATGTTTATTTACATTCAGCTACTGTACTGATTATATTTATATTTGCTGTTTAATTATTTTCTAAGATGAATTACAATTAACTTTCATACTTATCGCTCGGTCTCCGCAAACTCCGCAAACAAATGCTGTTTTATTCATAATATTAATTCAAATTATAAGTTTACACAAAGTGTAAGTTGTTAATTTATCTTGGTGTTTTTTTTAATTAGCTTTAACATAAACAATATAAATAAATGTTCAAACATTAAATCAGTGGTATGAACAAAAACTGGATTAGATAATTTGTTGTGAAAACCTTGTTATAATCTACATTAAATAAAAATACAATGATCATAATATTGATAGATGAATCAAACACATATGGCAACATTAATTATACATGTAATTAATGTACAATGTAACACTGTACTAAACATATAAAGTCCTGTTAACGTATTATTGAAAAAATTGTTATTTTAATAATTTTACTTTAATAAAAAAGCACATCTAACAACTGCCTAGATGCGTTTGCGTAATGGCCTTACAGTTTATGTATGACAGTGAATGACATTTAATATCTGTTTGCATATATTGTTCAGGTGATATCTAAATTTACTTTATTTTATATTATACATAATCTTAATGTAACCATTTAATATTTTATTCATCAAGTATTTTATATTGTGTAGGTATTTATATACATTTTAAAATTCCATCAATATTTTACCAAGTATTTGTGTATAAGTGGGATAGGTGAAAGTGGGATTTAGACTAGAATTTGCATATAAGTAAATATTAACAACAATTTCAAATTTATACGTGTAGTATTCATAACAATATTTGTAAGTACTATTATTACACAATATTAACGGTATTATTAAGTATTATTCTTGTACAGTATCATTAATATTTAATTAATCTTGCATGTTTATAATAGCAAATATTTGTAATTAGTACATTGTATCTAATGAACAATAGTTTTATTGTATTATTTTATAGTGTACTTCAAACGATAAATAAATTATACGTTTACTATATTACAGAATATTCTATAATATATATTTGTGTAGAAATATAAATGACTTTGTTGTTGTACATAACAACACAATTAATTCAATCAATTAATAATATGTTTGTTGTTTTGTATCTTAAGATTCACATAATATTGCACTCAATACAAGGTTTTATTAATAATTAATTTATTATATAAAATGCAAATTTATTTATCGTAGGCAATACTGTACAGTATGTTAGTGAAAACAATGGGCATTACATCAGTATTTTAAGTAGGTAGATTTTAAGCACTTAAATATATAAATGTAAAATAAAAACTTATTTTAATAACATTTGGAAAGTACTTTACTGATTTTTAAAAATAAAATATAGTTACAATTTAAACAAACCCATTGAAAAGGGATAAAATATAATGAAATAAAAATCAAATCTACATAAATATACAGTAACTGTATATACAACTGTTGTATAAATACCAACGTTGCAAGTACTTATGAACCCGGTTTGAAACATATTTAAACATGTTAATTTTTACCCGCCTACTAAATACTGTCAAATGTTTTAAATATTCTACTTATAATGCAATTTTTAAAAATGTTGTAATACGGCTACAAATTCATTAAATAAATAATTAATATAAAACAATTATTGCAATAATGGTCTTCAAATTTACCATGATTACGTTACTTTATTAATTATGTTGGCTATTTATAAATACAATTGGCTATAATGAATTTGAATTTTTAACAATCATTAACAATTAAGGATAAAATATTTATAATTAATAAAATAATAATTCATATAAAAATTATATTTATATATTTAGTTTAAAAAGTAATTAATATTTAAAACAAAAATATGAATTTTAAATACTATTAAAACTACATTGTATTCACGTACAAAGATTTTTTTAGAACCCAGTTTTAGGTTTTACATACACTGTACATACCGTAGAAAATAACCTTATTTTTACCGGTAATACTATGAGTAGTTAAATAAAGTCGACTCTGGAGCAGTTTTCGCAAAATTTTTCCGAGAAATCTAATTTTTGAAATCAAGATTTTAGAAATGTTAGGCGGCGCACACACATCAAATTCACCGACGAATAAACAA